CTGAGCTTTTTGGCTCTAACTAACACTATCTGCCCATTTCTTTTTAGCAAGGAGACCCTTTAATGCTCCTCCTAAAGGAGAGGTGGCCAGGGAAGTTATCTGGACTCTAAACCAGAGAACCCCAACACTTTCTCTCTGTCCTGTATGCTGAAAGACCACTGCATCCAGCACAGTAGTCAGGGCCTTCCTGCCACAGGCCTCCTGGCCAGTCAGTTGTTCCCACTGTCACTTTTGTTTGAAGCTGAGCTATATGGAGAAAGAAAATTCCTAGCGATCAGTGCAGCACTAAAGACATGCTACTGTGGATGACCCAGAGAAACTTCAGCACCTCAGGTCCTCACCAGCAAAGAGCTCAGTAGGTGACAAAATCCCCAGTCAGTCTTCCTCACATGGAGAGATTTCAAGGGAAAACATTCATCCTCAGAAGTAATGCTGTCATTTGCATTCCACAGAGTCACCACATCCATAGCAGTCTTTTACCCCAAAAATATGACTCTTATAACCCAATGTAGGCCTCTCTGCCCTCATAGCACTACCAGGGGAACAAGCCATTTTCTAACATTTCCGGCTTTTCTCGCCACACCCCAGCATGCTCAGCTGACAAAAATCCCATTAGCCAAGTTTGACCTCCTTCTCAAGCCAGTAGAAAAGCCATAGCCCACAAAGTCAAAACCTGGGAGACGCTAGTTGGACACTCTGTCTTGATGCAGGACAGGGCAAATTCCCCCGAGTAGGGGAGAACTCAAGCTCTGCACTGAGAGAGGTTCTTGGCGGAGCTTAAGAAAGAATTCAAACACACGCCAAAGTTAGAGTCAAGAGGAAAGTTTATTAGAGAAGGGGTAATACTCCATAGACAGAACATGGTCTCCTCTCAGAGGCAGAGAGTAATGGACACTCTGTCTTGATGCAGGACAGGGCAAATTCCCCCGAGTAGGGGAGAACTCAAGCTCTGCACTGAGAGAGGTTCTTGGCGGAGCTTAAGAAAGAATTCAAACACACGCCAAAGTTAGAGTCAAGAGGAAAGTTTATTAGAGAAGGGGTAATACTCCATAGACAGAGTATGGTCTCCTCTCAGAGGCAGAGAGTACGAGGACCTAAGAGAGACTCAGAGGGACGGAGACAATAGAGAGAGACAAGGACAGTGAGAGACAGAAGAAATGCACTGAGAGAGACTGAGAAGACCCGAGTGCAGGGAATTCAGTTTATATATCATTCTTCACTTCCTGTGTGTTCCAGTTTAAAGACTATATTTACACATTTTCCTTTGATATAAACATACAGTGAGGAAAGATAAAAGTATATAGCAAGAAAAGGTAAGAATATGTAGTGTGAAAGGCCTGCTGGCAGTTCCCAGTCTTCAGTCCATAGGGAATGAAATGGTGTAGGGCACCACTTAAAGACTCTGTTTCTCTTGTTTTCCCTTCACAGTGTGGGGAATGGGTGGTTAGCAATCCCAGCAGAAATCTTCCTTTGTTCTGCAGGTTTCCTCATGGTCTGGCTGCAGGGCTAATCAGCATATTGCAGTCTCTGAATGTAGCTTGATCTAACATTTTAATTCTCTGCCTCCTTTCCAGATTAACCTGAGTCTCTTGTCACAGTCAGTGAGAAAATTTGGATCTTTTCCCTATGACTACAGTGATTGGTCCTTTGGCCATGAAAGTAGACCTGATGAGCACATAGGTCAAGTCCTGGCTAGCAAGAACCCTTCCTAGCTTCTCAACAGTGCAGTTTCTCATATATGATTTGTCATTCCCTTCTATCCCATTGTTTTTTCCCCAGTTTACCATTCTTCCTTATACTGTTCCCTTTAAGATCTTTTCCAACCTGATTCCAGCCCAGAATTTTTCCAGTGTGTTTATTGGAGCCTGCTTTTAACACTAGCCAAGCAGAACTAGTACTGCTTGTTGCTCCTCGCCAGGTTTCCCCCACCTTACTGAATGTTCATGAAAACACATCTACCCCCAAAATGCCAGGTATAGTCTCTTTCCCCTTAAGTCTTCTCTCCTCAGTGAGTCTTCTCCCAACCGCATGCCAAGAGCAGACCGGAGGGCAGGCCAGAGAAGGCTCGGGTGTTTATTCAGAGCCTGGCAGAGCTGAAGAAAATGAAGTCTGCCCCAGCGAGGCACCTTATTAGGCCCTCTGGTCTGGAACACTGAGGGGCAAGAAGAATGTTAGTTGGAACCGGGACTGTCTTAAGAACAGTCCAGTGTCCCTGGAGACTAGGAAGAGACTGGATGAAGGAAGAGCAGATGTCAGACTCTAGATGTGAGAGGCTGAGGCTGACTCAGGGCTGCAGAGGGATAGAGAGTGAAGAAGAGCTTTTGGAGGGGCCCTGTGAAGCTAGCCGGAGAAGCATTTCCTTTGTTCTTTTCTGGTCAGTCTTATCTTAAGGGTGGAGCCCGATTGACAGTCACAATCCAGGACCAGCCCCAGCCCTAGGGAATTTGGCTGCCCAAGCACTGTCTGGACCTTCTCCCCATTCCTCTCACTGAAGGAAGCAGATGGCTATGAAGTATAAAAAGGCACACCTCCCAGAGCTAAAGTACACAATCAGACCCAGCCCCATTCTGTAACTTCTGTTTAATATTTATCAAAGCACTATGCTGGGCTCTTTACATCTACTGTCTTATTGAATCCCCACAACTTTGTAAGGAAACTAAAGCCCCAAGATGTGAAACAATTTTCTCAAAGTCAAGT